ATTTTGATAAAAGTCAAAATGTTGAGAAAAAAATTAGAAAGCTGTGAAAAGAGTTAGAGCTCAGGAAAAACAAAGTGTTTTTTGCTCCGTGGCCCTCCTCGTGTGAAAATGTAACATTTTGTTAGATTTGTACAAAGTTGTGTTGGAGCAGAGGTTTGCTGATCATTAATGTGATTTTAATCGTGCTGTGGCCCTGCTGCTCCGGGTCAAACAGGTCAGCGCTGAGCTCTGTGTGAAAACAGACCTCCTGGCTCCTGCTGTCACTTAATACAAACGCTGCCAATAAAACCTGTTTTATAGCAGAAAGTTTTAAAAAAAAACTCTTCCAGATTGAAAGTGACACATAGTTTTCCTGCTTAATCCTCGTTAGGCCTCACCTCACTGCACCAGGGAACTCTGAGAAATGTTTGTTTTTCTGATTATTCAGGAGTCTGCCCTGAAACACAACTTAGCTGTTTTTATTTTTTTTATGTTTATCTTTCAGAACATTTAAACCACATGAAAGAAGCTTTTAGTTAGCTGTTTGTTTAACCCTGGAGCATCAGATTAACCTCTCACATCCAACCTGTCAGTTTAAACTAAACATGAGCTCCACTCAACCAGCTGAACATTTAGCAACATTTTAGCTTTTAAATCACAGCCTGACTTCACCTGGAAACTTAAATGAGCTGAAGACCCTCAGATAGCCTGARAAACCCTTGTGGGATCGCGTGAGAAGAGAGACCCCGACACCCCCCACTCGACCCGAAGTCAAGGCTCTTCTGTCATTTTAGCTTTAAAACTGTCTTCATCATTTTAATAAATCATGTCTGAGAGCTCCAGCTGTCAGTCCTCTCATCAGTCTGCTAATGAGGACATCCAGGAATAAAATAATAATAATAATAATAATAACGATATAATAATAATAACAACAATAATAATAATAGTGAGTAATAATAATAATAACAATAACAATAACAACAACAACAAAACATTCTAATTGGTTTCTGCTTGTTTCATTGTGCTGAAGTAAAAACACACAAAATGCCTGTAACATCAGCTCCTGTCTATACAAACACAAACAGCAGCAGCAGCTAGCTGTAGCACTTTTTCAGGAGGAATATTTRAATATTTCCTGTGGAATAAAATCCTGGAACAAAAAAAATTTGTTTTCAATCGACACAAATTTTAAGAAACCATGTTTAAAATGATGATGTCATCCAGCTCAAACCCAGCAGGAGTCAGATCCAGACTGGGTCCTGGTCCTGGTCCTGGTCCTGCATCATCACCTCTGAGCTCATCTTCAGAGATCAACACATCGACTCTCAGCTGAGGATCCAGCTCATTATCTGAGCTGTGGAGGTCAACGCCGTGTCCCAGAATGCACCAGGGTCTAAGGTCAGCGAGGTGCAGACATCTTAGAGCAGAGCTGTTCGAGCAGAAAGCTTCAGGCCTCATGGGCCGGGAGGATATCGACACGTCAGGCTCAGGCTGCCAGACAGGAAATGACGAAACCGTCTTCAGAATGATGGATGAGAGAAGCTCAGCGTCGTCTTCTCTTCAAAACAGTGAAGTTTCAGTTGAACTCCTTAAACTCTGCACAAACATCACAACTCMTGTGAGTCATAAAGTCATGACTTGTAGGTTTTGTTTGAGCATTACTTTTTAGTCTTTTTCCCTCTGCCTCTTAATATGTTGTCAGGGAGTGAGACACAGATGTGTGGTTCCATGGTGACCACAAAGACATAAATGAAAATATGAAAGAGGATTAGGGCCACTGAGCTAAA